AAGTGTGGAAAAAATAGTGTTTTGGTTTTACTAGGTGTTGCATTATTGCCATTTGTTGATGAGCGACGCCTTAGAGCTGCCCTGGAAGAAGTATACCCTGACCTCACTCCTGAAGAAAGTAAGAATCATGATATTTTCTTACGACTTGTTATTACCACTGTGTTTTCATCTTAAATGAGCAAGGTATAATAGATGTTTGGTTGGATTGAATTATGGCAGGCTTTAGCCTCTTCTTCATAGATGGTGCTGGTAATTGGAATGTTCCTCAATGGGTTTGGTTTTGTAGCTTTTGCTTACTTTTCTTTTACTCGAGTAGACCTGCATAAGACTTAACCTGAAAATTAGATGGCAACTTAATCGTATTAAAAGCTTCTATCAGTATACACTGTCAAAGTATACACTGTCAAAGTACTCGTTACGTGAATATGTTGCAATCAAAAGAATAAGCTGTTTCCAAGGTTAGAGATGATGGTTAAACTTGGTAGATGTATTGGCTGTTCTGACCAGCAGGCTGGCTGTATCCAGTTACGATATGTGAAGCTTCATGTTCAGCTTATATAGGCAAACGTAGGTGTTGCTTTCTCCATTGTACAAAAATAATAACTGGGTCTTGTAAGTAAACTGCCTAGGAGGCATGTGGAGTTTTGGGGGTTTGGTTTTGGTTTTTTTACCTAGCCTGTCTGTCTTCAACATTGCCCTGTTCTGAATTGAAGATTCCTCCCATTGAACACAAGATTCCTGTTTTACTGTCTGCCAGCCGCCCTTGTGACAAGAGACATCCTGTTCTGGGCAGAGATGCTTTCTTTCCAACACTCTTGAGGAACATTCAAAGCTTTCTCCTAAATTATAATGAAGCTGTCCTTTTGTGGAGATGTCAACAGGATGATGTACTGCTCTGCTGTATTCCTTCCTTCCTTCTTTGCTTTGAACTCTTATCCCATTCTCTTCATTCTTTCTTTCTAGGCAGAAGAAATAGCCTTGGTGGGGATGTTCTCTTTGTTGGAAAACACCATCCACTTTGTGACTTTATTGTAGAACAGTACAAGACCAAAAATACAGAGGTAGGTTGTATGGTTCTGAAGGGATTTTATAAATGGTGAGGGTGGAGGTCTAACAAAGTGCTTCGGTTGGAAAACTATTTTTTTCCATAGGCCGTGGATATGCCCCCAGAGCTGTGCCATGGAATTCAGGGAAAGCTTACACTGAATGAAAATGCTGTTCTTCCAGATCAGTGAGTATGGATTTTGGTGTGAGTTGTGTGAAACTAAAGGACATTGCCTTCAGTTATGTCTGCATTTAAATAAAAATATCTTTGTGCCCGCAACAAGAAACCTAACTCCTGACAAGGCAACGCATTTAGTTCTGAGGCTAAACATGCTTTCCACTATGTGTCATAGTAGGTCTGTATTATCGTCAGCATACGTAAAAAACGAAGCAAGTAAGACTTGCCTTCTGCAATCCAATTTTTTTAATTTCAGAAATAGGCTTTTATGTATGATTTTTATGTATTTGGTAATGTTTGAACTGTAATTTGTAACAGGGCTTATATAATAAAAGTAGTAGTGATCAGTGGCCTTATTCAATAAGATCAGTTGTTTTGGCCGCTTTGCTTTTGTATGAATGTTAATTTAATGCAGTCTGTAACTTCCAGTAGTGTATGCTGTTAAAAAACCAAACACAACTACTCTTCTATGCTGATCTTAATTGCATTAAAGAAAAATCCAAATAGAGATATATTAGATGTATTTTGCCACTTTCATTTAGGCTATAGCACTAAATTCAGGACTGCTACCAGCTACAAATACAAAAAATGCTAATGCTTTTTGTTTTCTAGATAATGCATTTAGTTTGAGAAATTATCGGTGTAATCTTTACATTGTAGGGTATGCATTCATTTATCTAACTGTTTAGAGGCATAAGCAGGTGTTCAGTAACTCATTTGCATTAAATGCACAAACACTCCGATTTTGTTGGACAGATAATGTATCCTAGGTCATACTCACTAATATACATTTCTCTATTCTTGTCATGGCTTGTGGAGAATATGAGCAAGTCAGGGCTGTTCTTGGAAGGAATAGCGATGCAGGAAAAAGAAAACTGCTGGCATTGTGTTCCCTAGGTAGGGCGTGAGAAATGGGTATTTTTTTACCTAGAGTATTAGTTCACTAGGAATTCTGTGAGGGTGAGTAGGCATTTATATTGCCACTTCAAAATAAGTCTTTGCTAAAAAGATTTGTACCAAATTCAGTCAGCATGTATAGTTTGTGACCTCTATGTGTAACATGGGTCTCTGACAGTTGTGCGCAGCAGGATGAACAAAGGAACCTGGGTTTGGATTGATAAGAGTAATGTGGTGTTTGTCTGCTCGAACTGAAAGGGGTAAAGTTTTCTGGAGGAAAGAAGTACTAGTTAATTGTAACTGCATGTCAGCCTGTTAAATCTCAGTCAGAAAGGAGACTCTCTAAGTGCTGTGTAAAATAGCTGCTATTTTTTTTCTTTTTTTCTTTTTTTCTTTTTTTCTTTTTTTTTACTTCAAAGCCTTTTTCTTACTAGTGAAGCAGGTTTGTGTCTTCATGGTAGCTGCCTGTGTGTCTGTCTCTGGTCTTCTCCTGCCCTCTTTGAACACGTTGGCTTGTTATAATCAAACCTTAGCAGTACAGGGAGGTTTCCAAGGTGCAGAATAGTACTAAAGTTTGTAAACAGGCTGCTGGGTAGTGAGAAGTGTGTGAACCCACTGTTAGACACTAGAGAATCCACACAGATCAGCTGCAAAAAGTAGTGACACTAAGAAATAAGGATTCAGTAATTCAGTAATTCCATTGCTTATATAAGTATTTGGGTTAGGGGAAAGGCAAGTTAGTTTTGAAATCCCTTTTATGTGTCTTAGGCTTAGTTGACAGAGGAACAAGAGTGGTAGCAACAGAGAAAGTGGAGCAAATGGTGAGAAATACAATACGTGATGTTTTGACAGAGGTTTTTCTCTTACCAGGACAGTGGAGTCTCCTGTTCCAATGCTGCGTGATCTTGCACAAAATTCTGCAGTCAGGTAAGTAAACTCCGTGTTTTAATGCAATGGTGTACAACATGCAGCAATCAAAAATCGTTTTATTCTGGTGTTTTGTGTTGTTGAATTTGCAACAGAATCCACCTCTTAATAAAACTGACTCTTTTACTTTAAACGTTTCTCGTTTTCTGTGAGAATTGAATCCAAGATCTTGATGTAACAGCAGACTTGGGTTAGGGTGGTTAAGCAGAGTGCATAGTGGCGTGTCCTGCAGGCATGTCCAAAATAGTCGTTTCTCAATGCATCAAATCCAGTGTGTTTCACCCCTTCAGAAATACCTCATCTTCCCTGCTGTTGCTTTTCTGCTCACTCTCTGTTGGGACTTCTGAGACTTTGGCAAGCAAAGAGCAACACCTACAGAACTTGATAGTCTGTATCGAGCCTTTTGAATTAGTGAAAACCAAACGTTCATGAGAGCCCGCCCCCGAGACAGAATTGGGTATTGATTGAAAGTGCTCCAGCTCCTGATTTTTGCCTCTTGGATTTTTATCCATTTTTATTCCTAGAAATTCGCAGAGGATGCCTGGGAATATAAGCTTCATGTCTTTAAGAAGTAAAGGAGTAATACTAATTGCCCGAATATGATGTTTCGGAGAAAATAAGAAACTTCATAATGAATAAAGAACAGTGCAGAGTTTCCAAGAGTAAATCTTGTGGTCACAGAAGGTTTTAATTGCTCTTGCACTTGACAGCAAATTTCTGTAGATCTAGTGTGTTGTATGTCATTCTCACTTAATTTGGAACAGTGTAATAGGTATGTAATACTTGAGCCTATAGCCTTGCGCTTCTTGAGCCACATAAGATACTTGAGACACTGAAAATCACTTGTGATCTGTCTGCATAATTTTTTCCTCCAAGGAGGCATAACTTGGTTCAACCAGAATAACTATCTACACGCAATACAAAATCCTAAGTTGTGGCTTGTCAGGGTATTGTAGAAAGGATGTTCTGAAATGGGGATTTAGTTACTTTGAGTGATGAGGTAAAGGTAGTTGTTGGCTTTCCATCTGCCACTGTCAGGAGGTTTGAATTGTTTTATGCTTCTGTCCATTCCTCTGTTGCAATGATTTTTCTCCCTGTCTTTTGAGATAGTATGAGCAGTCATGATTGTGCTCTTCAGTTCTTGTGACTTTGGCTGAATTTTCAAAGGGACCATTATTCTTTCCTTCCAGTCTCATTCTGTGTGATGAAAAACACCAGCTGGAAGAGTGAGATTATTCTGTTTAGCTGTTTGCTTTTATCTTTCTTGGCATCCCAAGCATTATTCTATATCAAATGCTAGGTAGTGAGAGAACAGGAAGCAGGTTGGTACTGTGTACTTCAAACGTGTCCCTGGTGGGACCTACCTGAGACCTGGATACTTACACCAGGAGATTGGAATTGCTAGGAGTGTGGATGAATTTTCCTAGGGCAAACCCAAACTGCTATATAATGCATCGTACCAACAGAAACCAAGCTTTCAACCACTTTTTGCTCTGTTACTATTTAGTTTGTCTAATGCTACACAGCTCAAAAAGCAGGGTTTGCAAGATGTCACTGAAAATAGGTGTATGTTCCTCCATGGGAACTGCAAAGCCACCTTGCAGGATAAAAACTCCCTGGCCCAGGAAATCCCACTTCTGAGTTTTGTATGCCTCTGACTCAACTGCATAGCAAGCTGATATCCTTCCTGTCTATACTGTGGCAGCCTTTGAACTTAATCAAGTGCAATCAGTGCTTTGAGTAGAGGATTTGTACTCAAGGGTCTACAGAAGATACTTTCATTACCATACATAGGACTGACTGTTTTCTAGACATTAAACTTTCTTTTGGACTGGCTATCGATAACAGGGGAGAAAAAAGGTCACCCTGTGAAAATAAGTGGGACAAGTCCAATATAATCAGTATATACATGTGCAAGAAATGCACTTTGCAGTTTGTCGTGGGTTCTTGAATCTTATCTTTTCTGTTGTGTACAGCACTATTAATAAAGCACAAATTACTCTTTAATCTTGTCTTAATTATCAAGTAAACCTAATTCTCAAATACTTTCTCCTAGTATCTCTTTCAAAGATCCGCAGTTTGATGAAGACTTCGTTTTCAAGGCTATAGTGTTACCTGGTGCAAAGTAAGTATCAGTTTTCAAATAATTCCATTTTCTTTCATTCATCTGAATATTTGCTCTGATAAGTATTTATGGGACTATTTTTAATATTAAGGAAACCTGCTCCAGTTCTGAAGCCAGGAGACTGGGAAAAAACCAACAATGATGGCAGGCCTTGGAGACCACAGCTTGGTTTTAACCGAGACAGAAAACCAGTCCATTTGGACCAGTCAGCGTTTAGAACTTTAGGGTAAGACTGGCAGCATTGTTGTTGACTGCATTGCTGAGATGACTATGCTTCTTTATTGCTTTTTTAATTTAAAAAAAAAGAAAGAAAGAAAGAAAGGGGGTGGGGATGGACTGTCAGAGATTAGGTGCTGGTGTTCCATGTTGGAAACTTTGGCATATGATATTTATATTCAGTATTGATGAAAACTGGATATTACTATAAGTTTGCAGTAATGCTTTGCATTCTTCATCATTTTGGGGGAGGTTCTACTAAATATTTGTAACTAGCTCTCGCGCTGCTTTTTTCCAACTTGTTTGATGGTTACTTGCTTGAAGTACAGAACTTGACATGAAGAACAGAAGATGGTTCACCTAGTTACAAAAAAAAGTATAGGTGTGCTGCCGATCACATATGATGTCTCATTAAATTGCTGTCCAGGGTGGCAGATGCCCCAAGTATCAAAGTCTTAAGGCAAATGTAGTTCTGCACAGGAATAACAGCAAAGGCTTGGCAAATATCGACATGCCAATATTTGCAGATCCCGCGTCTCTATCAAATCTCACTTCCTGGGGAATGTGACAGCAGTTCAGTTTTACTGGACTCTTCCACAGTTTGCAGGAAATAGGTGTTTTTCTCTTTATTGTGGCTTGCTGTAGAAACTTCAGAATTTTTGCTGGGACCAGCTCGCAAAGCGTGTGCTTTGGTGGTGGTGTGCCTGGGACAAGCCTGGTGGTTTGCCTGGTGTGCAAGCGAGTCACTGCATCATGTTTGTGCACTGGCAGACTGGAAAGAGCTGAGGTGTTTAATGGGCTGGGTAGCAGCTGTGCTGTAAGATGGCATTCATAAAAACCTCATTCTTTTTTCCTTTCCGTTTCTTACACATAATAGCCATACGATGCCAAGGGAAAGAGGGATGCCAGGAATGTATGCCAATGCAGTACCTCTTGGAACTTATGGTAGCCCATACGCCAGGCCGCTTCTCAGTGGGCAGCAGCAGATTCCTAAATTGTTGTCAAGTAAGTGGGTTCTGCTTTCTACATTTCTGAGTTTCAAAAATGTTACTGTTCTTTTGTGGTCTGTTGCACTACTACAAATAAAAAATAGATCCAGGCATCCGTCTTCATTAACCTTGTGTTGCTCTTCTCTATGGCTCTTCCTTTATGGAATTGCTGTAATGAAATGTGCTAAACTGTAATTATGTGCCTGTAAGCAGGATCCCATTTTAAATACTGCACCCAGTATTCAAATGCAATATGAAAAGCAGCACTTTGTCTACTAAGGGTTCCTAGTGTTTGTTACCTGGAACATACTGAGTATGTGGCTGAACCTCAACATCACCAGTGTCAGCACACTTGGTGGAAGCTTGGTGCTTTGTGTCTGTAGAGAACAGAAGAGGAGGATGCTGGCCACAGAAAATAGTTCATGCATGAGCATGGTGGCAGATCAGGAAAGATTGTAGGAACAACAGAAGAGCTGTGGTTGGTGCTGAGATGCCAGACTGAACCGAAATTGCTAATTCAGTCCTGTATTGGCTTCTCCTGCCTGCGGTGGGTCTTGCAACTTCTGGCTGAGGTGGTAGGAGATCGTCAGGAGGTCAGGGTTGCCACTGCTGTTGGCTTGGTGAACAAGTGGGTGAGATAAATCCTGTGTGACCTGAAGTGGAGTTGTTCATCCTGGAAAGGAGTTGCTTGTGCGAAGAGCTCCCGAAAAGGATGCTAGTGAAGAGTCCTATCTCTTTGCCTGTGATCAGGAGCTGTGTTTCTATAATGTGGGATTGAGACCAGAGGAAACATGGCTAAACTGCCTAAAGAGCAGCTTTAAAGTAAGAAGTTCTCACTCTTCAGCTGAATTCTTGCAATACTGAATTATACAAGTGTTTGAAGTTTAGACACCTGACACAGATAAAATCTGAACTCCAACATTTTGTCATGCTTAGAAGACCAGATTACTGCATAGTGAAGCTGTCAGGCTTCTTATACTTGACTTGTATTTTTGCCACATACAAAACAGCAAGTAAATAATATCGGCGGCCACTCTGAATGAAACTTCCTATCCAGTCCCAAAGTAGATGAAGTGTAGTTGAGTAGTGGGTGCAGAAGCTTTCTTGTGCGAGGAATTAGATGGGTTAAGTGGAGAGATGGATTGAATATGAGAGCCTGGAGCTATTAACTTTGATTAAAGGAAAACAAGTGGGTTTCTAAACAAACAAGAAATATGATCTGAAAGGAAGAGTGTGGGGAATGAGAAGCCAGAACAACCAAACAGCCATCGCATTTTGTATTAATCTCTGAAAAGAGAAAGTCTGCGTGGATTTGGGGAGAAGAAAGTATTTGTGAGCTCATCAGTCCCTATGCTGCTGTTCAAGTCTTCTGAATCTCAAGTCTTGACGCTTTGTGGGAAATACTTACTTCAAAGTAGTGTTCTCTGCCTTATGTATGTGGAGCTGATCTTGCCAATTAGGTACTTAGAAAGCTCTCATCCTCATGACTTCTGAGCACCTTGTGTTGTGTAGGAAGGACTCCACATGCAAATATGCCCCAGTGCCATCATTCTTTCAAACTGAGGAGGCTTGAATCCACTGATCGATACGAAATCTCAGTCCATCTGGTGGCCTCCGAAAAACTGTCTGGTGGCTTTCTTTCACAAATCCCTTCCTCCCCTCATCTTCCATCCCTTCCTCACCCTCAAATTGCCTCAGGCATCCCCAGTTGCTGTTCTGCAAGCGTGCCCAGCAAATCTGAAAGCAAGGCTTCTTTTCTTGTTGTTGTTTCTTTCTCTCATTGTGCCACTTTCCTTAATGCTGCTTTTCCCATTAGGCAGAGGTTGATCTTGTACTTTGCTGTTCATGCAGCAAAAAGAGGTGCCAGGTCAACCTGCTGGTCCATCCAGCCGCCGTCATGACACGCAGCTTCACACGCTGCCAGCAGTCATCATACAAAGGCTTTTTCACAAAGCAGGAGTTGTGTGCCTGCCATTGCTCTCCAGGGCTCTTAATCCCAGAGTCGAGAAGCTGGTTCCTGACACTCTCTTCTTTTCATAGGAGACCGCAGTGTAACATGCTGCAAATGTATTCTTTGTCAGTTAATTCTGTTGTGTTTCTCCTCTTCTACTAACGATACCAAGCTGTCCTAGGAGACTGGTCTTAAACTCTAATTAACTTCTGGTTTAAACTGACTGCAGTGTGAAGTCTTTACAACTAACTACAGTGGGGGTTGACTTAATCGATGCCAAGTGGCTGCACGTGTCTTTAACTCCTCTACCTTAGCAGGCAGAGACTGCGGTAAAAGGGTTAAAGCCTTGCTTAAACCTCCATAGTCCAAAATTTCTTCTCAAATCAGTCTTTCTGACATTCACACTGAAGGATGCTTTTGAAAATGGGACCACACCCAGACACCGTAACATATACTGGATTATAGATTGTGTGGGTTGAACACGAGGCAAACCTGTCAAGATGGGAGCGTGTCAGCAACATTCCGAACCTTGCTGCGGTAGGTGGTGGCCATCTTATTGAACAGGAACAGTCTGCACAGACAATGCGTTTGCTCTGGTGGACACTTGTGGTCAGAACTGAGCACATGGGCCAGTTTCACCTGGACAGCATTCTGTCTAGGGGTGCCAAAAGGTGTTCCTAGGTCTGACAGCACAGCTATCTTCTTGCGTTTTGCAGTCAACCCCTTCAGTTGAAGCACAAAATGTCTGTTGAAGCACAGATATCTTCAACTAGAAAATCATTAGAAGGAATGGGAAGGCATATGCTGGGTTTTCTTAATGGGGCAGGTTATCTCTTGTGTCAAAGTCACGTTCACCAGTGATGTAATTGTGAGAGAACAGCTGTGTGTGGCGGCATAATTGGAGTGGGAATCATCTGGGAATCGTCTGGAATTCACACATTCCTGAAAAACTAGAGGTGATGTGGCAAAAATTCCCACATTTTGTGGGATTGATGCAGAACAACTTTTCATTTTATGTATTATGTTTTTATATGTATGATGAAGTAAAATTAGACTCTAGAAGGGCAATGCGGTCAACCAAAGTGCCATCTCTTCCTCAAGAGCCTGCTGTGGGTGTTCCTTACTGTTGTTCTCTGATTTGACTTTGATGTGCCAATTTTCAGTTGATGAATAATTGTCTGTGCTGATAACTTGGGGAGTCAAGTGCAGTATGGGAATACTCTGAATGGCATATTTGGTTTCTGCAGCACAGGATATCTGATTTACGACTTTCATTTCAGTCAGTAAACTTGTCAATTAGCTGTGTTTGAAAAGTGATTTTGATTAGTGCAATCAGTAAACACAAAATCTCGTCTTTGATTGCCACACTGATTAGATAAATTGTTACTTGAGGAGCTGCTAGAGAAGGCAGTTTATTTGGCCTTATAGCTCTAGGAAATGCCTAAGTTTTGAAGACTAAAGAAAATATTAATTGTCGTCTCTTCTCCGATTTTGTGCCTTTTTGAAGTGCAATTCACTGCTCCAAGCTTTTTCCCTCGAAGATTGTTCTCTGTCAGAGCCATACAAAAGAATAATAATAAGGTGGCTTTAAATGTGTTTATGATGATTTCATTAAACTGTTTCTTAAACTGTTCCCTAGAGCTGCAAAAAGATGTGGTTACAGCAGGAGAGCTGGGTCCTTTCTTTTTCAGATGGAAAGGAAGTGATTAAATAGGACACAGGTTTTTAACTAGCCCTTAAGCAGGGATCTGTATAAATGGGAAACACTGCGCCAGGGCGAGACTAGCATCACCTCACTGGGTTTTTCACTAGAGCACCATTTGACTCTGGCAGTGGAATGGGAGACATGTTAATAAACTTCAATTAAAATGTGAAGTTCTGAGCAGGGAGGGAGAGACTATTACTCTGTATAATTGTCCAGATACTTGGGGGTCTTGCCCAGCTCAGCCTGGATGAGGAGAAGGGTGGGGGAAGCATTGCCATTATTCTTCCTGGAGTATAGGGTTTTTTTTCTGGAAGCTTGTGTCTCCTAGCAAGCAAAAGGAGAACTGAGACAGGCTTAGGAGACCTGCAGGTCTGGTTATGGTGAGAGCCAAAACCTAGCCCTCATGCTAGTGGCTACAGATGAAGAACTACAGGTGTTAGTAGCTACAGATAGAGGGGGTTTGTGCATCTGAAAACATTTTAGCAGAGCATAGTTCTTCTGTATTGCATGTATTTCTGTGGCGCTGGTGTCTGTGAAACTTTGAAATTATTAGAAATAAAGTCATCTTAAGATATTTTTTGATTGAAAATAGTGACACTCTTGGGCTTTACCATTTTTTTTTCTTTGCAATTTCATCTTTGTATTTTTTTTAAAGCTTCAGTTAACGTTGTCTCTTAATTGTTCATTTCCCCTAAAGTAGCTGAAGACAGCATTATGGGCCTGGGTTTTCTTATGTTGCCCTAATCTTGTATTCAAAAGCAAACACAGAGTCACTAAAGTGTGGTCTTACTACAGCCTGTTTGTGTATGTAAAAGCCCTTGTAATTCACAGGCTGATCGGTATGGAAGTGCCACTTACCCATCTTTAGTCCTTGGGGTGCTTTAGACTGGTTTGGTTACAGTGTATGCGAAATAACCAATTACACTTGTTTAGGAGCATCAGGTGGTGACAGTGTGTATGTTTGAGTGTGTGTGTGTATATAGAGAGGTGTATGTATTGGTTGGGGTGTGTGTATATGTATAATGTTTAATAAATACCTAAACCACAGCATGTACCCCCCTGCAGCTCGGGCTGTTGCTGGGCTGGGTGGGCTGGATTAGCTCTGCCTGGAGGGAGGCCCAGGTGGGAACATGGGAGCTGCTGGGGATCAGAATTTATTTCCTCTGACGAAGCGGTGTTATCTTCAATGGGAGCTGCGCTCTCCAGTGCTGCCGTGGAAGGTTTCTGTCCAGGTCAGACCATTACAGCCTGCTGACCAGCCAGCCAGAGTCAGGAGAGGTGCAGATTTTTCCTCTGTCTGTTTTTTTTTTTTTCTCCCCTTTTAAATTATTGCAAAGCTTTACTTTACTTGAATATTGGCAGAGCTGTCCCATCGCAGTGTGTCCATTAGACAACTTCTGGAACCAGCTGTTGAAATTAGGTCGCACTTAAACACCATTGAAAATAATCAAAGATGTCACTGAAACTGAAGCTTTTGATTGATGCACAATTTGAGTGTTGTGCACTGACTGAGGAGCTATTGATTAGCTGTTTCTTTTATCTTGTTTACTGACCAGTTTGTTTAGAAGAACAACAGCCATTTAATTGTATGTCCTGTTAAAGCAATGTTGTTACTGCTACGTCTTTGTAAAGAGTTAATTCGGGTAGGAGAAACAATTGAGAAGTGGGTGGTCTTCTTCATTGCAGTTTATAACTGTGGTGCTAGGTCTCAGGCCAAGCTTTTACCCAAAAAGGTTTAATTCAGTCTGATTACATTATCTGAGAAATCATTAATAGATTTTTATTATTATAATTTTTTGCGTTAACTTTTAAATATATTTTTACTATCTTTAAATATATCCTAAATGTAACATATTTATATATATATATGTATATTAAAAAAAAGTGGATGAAGTGGAACTGTTTGCTTTACTACGTGCTCTGGTCATTCTTTTAGTTTGCTTTATAGAGTAACAGCCTAGTTGGAGGGAAACTTATACGTATTTTGAATATTAAATATTTGTTGCTCACAAACATGGGGTATTGTGCTGATGACACAGTGGCGTGTGTAGATGTATCTATTTTTTTCATATTATATAGTCATGAATGTACTTGTAAGAAAAGTAAAGATGAAATGAAGCCTTCAGTTGTTATGGTAACAGACATGGCTTTGCATTTTTAAAAATTCAACAGAAGATACCGGTGAAGTGTTCAAGCACTAACCAGTGCTAGTTCTAGCAATTTAATTTCATTATTTACAATTTAAAGCTTATTGGGCATATTAGAAAAACAAACAAACAAAAACAACAACAACAAAAGTTGCCTTTCATTAATTAATACTGAGCTTGCAACTGATGGACATAAGAGCTCAGCACAGTAACCAACGACTTGGTGAAATGTGTTTGGTAGTATACCCACTTTGAGCTTTTCAGTTTGACTTCTTAAAGCAAGTTCTCGGGCACGAGTAAGAGGAGCACAGTTCTTTCAGTGTATTTGCTCTTTTTTTTATTTTAACATTTTGGTTTGCCCTCTAGATCTTAGACCCCAGGAGTCTTGGCGAGGTCCTACACCCTTGTTTCAACAGACACCACAAAGGTAAGGCAGGAGGGATTGGCGTTTTGCAAAGTGTGGCCAGGAGGATGTACTTGGTTCTGCCAGGCTTCACAGCTTTTTTTTTTTTTTCCCCTCTTTGTTTTGAACTTTGTTGTTTAAATTCGTAGAAATCACACTGTACAGCAGGGGTTTTTTTAAGTTAATTAATGTCCATGATTTATTTATGTTTTGTGAGCGCAGTATATGCTGTTCATCCTTTAAAAGGCTTGAGTACTTTGTATTAAAAAAAAAAAAAGAAGGCAAAAACACTTTCCATTAAAACTCAGACTTCAAAATTAACTTTACTGTTGATGCTTTGGTACTGTTCTTGGTTCTTTGGCCTTTATCTTATTGAAGCTTTTGAGATACTATGAAATTGAACACAGAGAGCTTAAAACTGCATTAGATTTTGGACAGGCTAAACAAATTTCTTTTTAGGAGGGCTGTGGAGCTTAATGAGGCATAACTAATGGTGTTCCACTTTTATCATTTCTGTGCCGCAACCGCAGCATTAGTACAGACTAGCCATTGATTCTTGCTACAAACCTCTTGAAGTCCTAATCAGCTTCTTTGGTACAAGTTTTTCAGGCCTGACAAGCCTATTGTAGGGCAGTGTCACTGTAGGTCAGTAGTTATTAGTTGCCACTGAAAACAGTTTCTTTAACTACTTAAGACTGAACTGAATTAAATGCAGAAGGGACTCAGGGAAGGATTATGGAATCTGCAGTCCAATAAGTGCCATCGAATAGAAGGAATGTGACATGGTTTGATAATAAGGGATGTTTTACATGTGTTTCTTCATTGATAGATTATATGTCCTTAAGTCAGATGGACTTTCTAAACTCCAGCATACCTGTGAAAGCTATGAATAATGATATTTATTTATATTTATGGAGGAATGAGAGCGTATGTGAGATCATTGAAGTTTCTGCTCTGTGGCACAACTTTTTTTTTCATGGTTTTATTTGCAAATGTTGACCATTGAAAATATGAGCTTTGGGAGAATTTATTGAGCTGTCCGCCATCACGTTTTCCATGGCAACCATTTTGATCCCTATTGAAATAAGTCCGGTTCCCTTGTCCTGTGCTGCATCTATGCAGAATATAGCATCATAAATGAATCTTGCATTATAAATGAATCTTGGATTACAAACCTTAATACTGCTTTGTCCATGGGAGTTGCTATTCCCACACCTTAAATCCAGTTTGTATAATACCATTTTGTGGAATATTGGTACGGATCTGCAACTTGTCATTATTTTTACAATGCTATACTTCTGTCATTTTACCAGGCTGTTTATTTTTGCGACATGGAAGAGTTATCAATTCCTGTATAAATTTTAGCCAGAAATTCTGTCTGTTTCTCACTTGAAATACACATTTTTATTACAATTGTAATAATTGACCGTTTCTCTAATCAGAAGCCTATCGTAAGGTTACTGTGCTTGGTTTGTGCTAATATTTTTTGAAGTAACTGCACACTGCCCAGGCACTTCAGAGCATTTTTGGAGACAGATGGTGTTTGTGATTCAGTCTGCTAACCTATGCAGCCTGCTTCCAGTGTTGCAGTAGTGAACTCACTATTCAGTTCCTAAACTTGAGGAAACTGGTGTCCCCTGAGGTGACTTTAAACTGAAGATGTATCATTTTCACCTAGAAAATAAGCTTTAGAGAAGTTTGCAGAATGCCATTCTGGCTTTTGAGTGACAACAGTACATTTACAATGTTTTATCTGCCTGATGGTGCTTTGTTATACTTCCGGTGATTTATTAAAATCACTAGCTTGCCAGTTTCAGTGCTGAAGGTAAGTCATTTTTCCATGTTCTTGAAAGGTGTTTGATTTGGGAAACAAATCAAACAGATGCTTAGGGCCGGTGTTGAGTTAGCTGCCGTACAGAGTTAAGCACGGAGACTTCAGCAAAAGGTTAGACAGAAACATGAAGGTAGATAGGCTTGGTGCAGGAAAAAGTGGCTCAACCTGTTGAACTGACCGGCTCCCTCAAGAGGTTTTCAGTTTGACAATTAATTCCCTGGGAGGTGCCAGTTCCTGTACCACTACCCCCAAGGCTGTCCCTGCTTGCTGCTGTGGCTTCAGGTGCTCCAGCAGCAGCAAGGTGCCACCAGGGAGAGCAGCGAGGAATTTGTTCTCCCCTGTCACCCCTGCTCCTGCAAAGAAAGTAATTGAGGGAGAGCCCAGCCCCTGCTCCAGCCTTTTCAGATGAAGTGGGTTGGCAGGAGGCTACGATATCCTTGATTTGCGACATCAAGCAGGGGATAAGCAAGGAGCCCTGTCCCTGCCAGGAAAGCTTTGAGCCTTTGTGCTGTTTCAGGGATCGAGTATTGCAGTGGGGGCTAAACTAGCTCTTGCTTCGTAGGCCTGGGTGGAAAAAACCCAACATTGTAAAGCTGCTTCTTTGTAATCCAGATGACCTTGTCTCCTGCCTAAAATTTCTTATGTTTAAATTTAGTGATGCAATTCAGTGTGCAGCAAGTAAAATCGGACATCTTTCAGCACGTCCCGTTTGGGCCCTGGTCTGACTTGGCTGAGTTACTGGAGATCAAAGGAGATTATTTCATGCTCTTGCCTTCAGTGCTGGTGTTCTGATATGTTTCAGAGGTTTTATATATGCTACCTGGTTTCCTGGCTGATGGAAATTTGTAATCTGCTCATAGAAGAGATTTCCAAAGAGGCTGAGGTTGGAACACAGAAATGTTTTACTGTATAAAGTTTCCTGAAATTGTCTTAGCTAGTCTATATGTATATGCTTTAGTTTAATCGTAAGTTGATGAAACTCTGGATAGTGTGTTTGAGTAACTCTGCCAGTGTGAAGTCATGTGATACTTCAAGTGGCACAATTCTTTTTTTGTTACCCATGAGGCACAGCTTTGCTGCGTACAGATCTCCACCCTCAGGTAATTTGAATCAATACATCCGCTAGATGAACATGAAGTCAAGTGCTGTGAGGACTATAATTTCCTGATTTCTGTTTACCAGATGGAGACCTAAAATTTTGGGATTTAAAAATAGTACATAGTTCTGTGAATTAAGAGCAGCAGAGAAGTGTCAGCTGACTTTCTGACTTTAAGATCAGAAAATGCATTGCAGCTTTTTTTGGTTTTTTTTATACTGGGTTTATCCCCTACAATACATAGTGGTTCTAACTGAAAATCACCAATTTCAGATGGTCTCGAAGCAAAAATGACCCAACATAGCAGTGATATTACTGTTAATGTGTTTCGTTTGTTTCATTAGTTAAATATCCCAAATTTTCACTTTATTAAAATAAAAAGTTTAAACTGTGCCAAATGTATTTTAATGTCAAATGAAATGTGTGTCAAACTTTCCTGTTCCAGGCTTGTAGCAGTTGTTGGCCTGTGACCAGCAGTTGCTGAGGGTATTTATCACAAGCATGTTAGCAAAGTTGTGGAGACAGAGTGACTGTTGGTGAAAGTCCTAGAGCTGGGTCTATATAGGTAATTCCCTGTAGTTTTCTTTGAGGCTGAGCAGTGTGTTCTTCCTGGAGAGTCTGCTGTTTTCTGGGAATAATGTGAGGGAAAAAAAGCTAGTTGTCAAAGTACTTAATCAAAAGGAATATCATACTTGGAATACTGATTTTGAGTGTTTAGTCCATGAAAGTGTAATGTGCTATTAACTTTAAATGCAGTATTGTTCCTCCTAATGAGTGATTCAGATAACATTGTGCATTTCTAGACACACCTCTAAAGCTAAAGGTAAAACCACACAGTATTATCACTTAGCTTTTGTGCAGGTTCATCTTTAGTACATGTATTGCGCATTACATTTACCAATTGTGTATTTATCAGGTAAGACTTACACTTTTATAAACAGGAATCAAGTTATTTAATTTCTAGAGACAGGAGTTTCTTTTGCCTTTCTAAAATTCAGGCGGGTCCTGATCTGCCCAGGTGGTGCAGCAGGCTTTAGGTGTGAAACTAAGAGCAATTTGCATCTGAAACCAGAAAGCTTTCACATCCAAAATTCCTGTTTTCAGTCATTTTAATCTTATGTTTACCCGACTGGATTCCGACTTTACCTCTGTTCCAGCTGGTGAAATATGTATTTAAAGGTCCTTCCTCTGCCAGCATTGCTTCCTCAATTGCTCAAAGCTCAGTCTGCCCAACATGGTACAGCTGGCTGTGAATCCTCCCTGGTGTTGGAAGTCATACATCCTCCCTGAACTGCATGTGTGCCTGAAAGAATATGTCAGCCTTGGGGTAGTGTCGCTCCTCCAAGGTTGAAGTCCTGCCGCTTTAATCCAGCAAATCTAGGGAGAGGCTCTTTGAAGACTTACAATGTAACTTTCAGTTGAGGGGTGCAGCAGGTAGATGTGAGATGCAGTGCTCATGCTTTCTGCTGTGCTTGTCTCAGCAGGCTGGCTGCACGCTGTTGGACTGACTCTCTTAAACAGGGGTCAGAAAAGATTAACTGTCTCAACTATCCGGTGTTTTTCATTTACAACAATATATTGCACTGCAGAACATAACTGTTATGAATTCTGTAAGGAGTTGTACGCTTACCCATGCTCAGCTTTAAAGACTATATCATGGCTGTATCATTTTTCTAAATATTTTTAATCAAACAATGATTTGAAATATTATACCTGTTGCTTTATAATTGTAGTGTTAGAATAGGTACTTGAAAGCAATTAAAACATTTCTTGCTCTTAGTAATCTAGGATGGCAAACTAGGTTATAATGGATGTTGAATTTGCGTTCCCATATAAACTGTACACCAAATGTCAGTCAGTCCGTGCCAATTAGTGCTTATGTTGCTAGGTCACCGTGGTCAATTGAAAACGGCATCAATAGAACTTGAAAAGGTTTCTTCCCGATCAGACCTTCTGACATATTGAGCAGAATAATGGATGGGAAAAAGCAGCCAAGGCCCCTACCCTAGATTCAGAATACTCGCAGTAAGAATTCATTTGCAACCTGCAATTAACTAGAAAGAATGGACTCCCAGAAAGAGTCTGGACATTTAGAAAAGAAAGCCTCATTCTCCTGTATCGCACATGTTTACTCTTTGGATGGTGTGTTACGTTTAGCTAACTTGGTGATATCTGGGGGTTTAATCTACATTCAAGATCAGTGCGAATGAATTGGCAGATTTGCCCCTAAAATAAAAGATGGGCAGAATCCTTCCAAGGAATTTGAAAAAAGACCTCATGTATAATTGAATTTGCTGCTTGTGGTAGTACCTGGTTCTGTAGGTTTTAAGCTGTGGTGAAAGAAGCAGCAAGCAAATACGGCCTTTTGGCAGGAGAATCTTGGAAGATATTCCCCCCTTCCCTGATTTAGCTGTAACAACTTGGCCATCTGCAGGCATAGCTGGATGTGACAGTGTTTAACTCGGAGACAAATCTAATAATTTATCATACGAAACTGTAGAAATACAGATTTTTTTTTTTTTTTTTTTTTTTTTTTTTGGTGGTGCGAAACTCTCTCTAGGAGCTACGTTCATGCTGCAGTGTATTTCTTCTTTACGCAGAACTGCTGGGGCTGCTCCTCTTCTTGCCTGGAACCGCATGCTACAATCCCAAAATCAGTACCAGCCAAGTCAGTACCAGGGACTGGGCGGACCAATGGGTTACCCACAGAGACCTGAAGATCGGATGGACAGGGGAAGACAGGTATGAAGATGTTGCCTCATTTTGCACATTTTGTCCTCCTGAGTAAGGCTTCCTTCATGTGTGGCTGTGGAGAGTGAGTGCAGTGCAGGTA